CTCCTCCAGCCGGCAGGTCCCCCCGGTTCCCGGCCCCTCTCACCTTGCCCATGTCCGCAGCGGTGGCCTCCAGGACCGCCTGCTTCTTCTCATCCAGGAAGCGTCCCAAGGCTTCCAGCTGGGCCACGCGGTATTCCATGGGCCGTGTCTTCCCGGAGAGCCAGGATGCCCGCAGGTGGCTCACCAGCCCTGCGTAGGGGTTCCCGCTGTGGGGACAGGGGTGTCAGGGGGACCCGCAGCCCCATCCCAGCTCCTCCAAGTTCCGCATCACCCTATCCTGTTATCCAACTGCTGCTCTAGGGAGAGGACAGAGCACCAGGACCCCTCCTGCCACCCCTCTATCCCACCACACTCTTACCTCATGGCAACACCATCCACACTCCCCTTCCCACCATCACCCTCAGGGGCTCTCCCAGCCCCGCTCCCAGCAGGCTGCAGGAAGACACTGTCAGTCTCCATGGTCCCACAGGAGCAACACAAGGGTGGTTGCGCCGGGGCTGCCAACTGCAGCTTCCTCCTTCTCTGGAGGTGTCCAGAGAAGGGCGGTTGCCAGCTTCCTGCCCTGCCCCTTGGCTACCTGCATATCACTGCTGGCTCCATTCCAGCCAAATCCAGCCCAGGGCATCTCCCAGCACCCCCCAAACCGGAGGACAGAGGCACGAAGAGAGGCAGGAGAGAGCTCAATGCAAAGTCTTTACTATAGGCAGAGTTACATGGAGGAAAGAGCAACAGTGAGGAGAAGGAGGATCATCCCCAAGGAAAGGTCCATGTGATGGGAGATGGGGCTGATGGGACCATTTCTCCACCAGGAAGAGGAAAAAGAGCTTCTGGGCCGTTTCAGCTGCTTCCTGGAAAACGGTCCAGAGCAGAGGCCACAAGCGTGCAGGAGGGGGCATCCATCCCGGCTGTCCAACGCGCTCCAGCGAAGCAAAGGACACGGTGAGGATGGGGGGGCAGTCCTGGTTCTCCACACCGACTCTGTGCATGGAGACCCTCGGAGCAGGACGTGGGACCCTCAGAGCAGGGTGCAGGTGCCCCTGCGCTTGACCTCGAAGGCGGCCGTGAGGAGCCCCAGTTTCTGCTGGGTGTAGGGCGGGTAGCGCGGGGCGTTGATGGCCTCCAGCCCCATGCTCCGGTGCAGGCAGCCCCGGTGGTGGGAGAAGGTGTCGAAGGTGAACTTCCCGTGGTATCTTCCCAGGCCACTGTTCCCTGGAACACACAGGACAGGTCCATGCTCAGGGTGGGACTCTGCTCCTGATGACACCCGCTCTGAGCATCGACACGAGGGAAAAAAACCCCACAGGCTTTTCTCTGCTGAGCAACACAGATATGGTGGAGGAATTCCATCCTTCCCAGTGCCTCCTCCAGGTCTATGGATATGCAATCTAACCAATCCTGCTGCAGCTCAGCAGCTTGGAGGCCTCAGCATTTCATTTTTACCCACCTCCATTTACCTACACAAGCTTTGTTGGGTCTACAAGCCTTGATTTCCCTCCATGATGCTCCTCTGTACCTCCCCACAGTTGGAGCTGTTCCATCTTCTTCCTGGAGCTCTTAAAACCTGAAGCCACATTGGCAACACCAGTTCTCCCAATTCCTGTGGCTGGTTTAACTGGAGGTTGAGTCCGGTGACTTCCCGTCTCACCCCAATGACTTCAGCCCATTCACCTGCTCTAACGTGGCTTTAGCTGATAATTGGAGGTGGTTGGTCTGAATCATTCCCAATTAAGATAAGTTACGGAATGGGAAGTACCAAAAATTGTTTGCTGAGCCACAGGCAGGTGAGGAATTAATTGTCAAGGTATTTCATTATGTCTGACTCAGCCACCAGCTCTGACACAGAGTTGCTGAGAAGGGGCACCACCAAAGGGAGGGATTTACCCCAGAAATATTTTGGGGAGATATGAGGAGATTGGGAATTATTCTGGGGAACAACACTCCTCTATTCCTGCATCCCTGGACCATGCTGCAGCAAAGGCCCAGGGCTGAGTGACCTCGCTCTTCACTTGAGAAAACAAATTGCACCAACCCAGAGAACAAAAACTTCCTCTTTTCCGAGGAGGATCTCCAAGGCTCCATAAGAGGTTCTCCACGTATTTATCAGTTCCTACTCTTCCTAAGAGGCAGAATGAAGTTGGTCAGGCCTGGGGGCTCTGGACATACCAATCCCTCCAAAGGGCAGCGAGGTCAGTGCCACGTGCATCAGGGTGTCGTTGCCGCAGAAGCCGCCGCTGCTCGTCCGCTCCAGGACCTGGTTCACCACCTGGGAGGGAGCAGAGAAGGTGGATGAGGGTCTTGCACTTGGCAAACGCCACCCAATTCATCCATTAAATGTTCCCAGAGTGTTCCCTCCAGAGAGCATCCTGGTGGCTGTCAGGATGGTACCTGATTTTCCTCCCCACTTGCCCTGCTCCACGGACTCACCTTGCTGTCACAGGAGAAGGCGTAGATGGCCAAGGGCCGCGGCCGCGCGTTGATGAAGTCAATGGCTTCATCCATGTTGGCCACGACGACGATGGGCAGGATGGGCCCGAAGATCTCCTCCTGCATGACAGGGTCCGAGGGCTGCACGTCCGCCAGGATCGTGGGAGCTGTGGAGAAGAAACCCGACGGCACCAGCCGGGCACAGAGGTCGGAGATGACACCTTGGACCTCCTGCCAAGACCCATCCCTAAGCACCCAATTCCTATGGAAACCTTCCCTGAACCTCATTTCCCTCTAGAGCCCCCCCTTTTGATGTGAGGCCTTCTCCACACGCCATATCTGCTCCACGCACGGACGAAGACGTGCGTGAGGCCCAAGCCCTCACCGATGTAGCGCTCGGCCTCGTCCGTCTGTCCCCCGATGGCCACGCGCCCGCTGCACAGCAGCTTCCGCACCCGCTGGAACTGCTTGTCCCCCACAATGCGCCCAAAATCCGGGGATTCCTGGGGGTTGGGGCCAAAAAACTCCACGATGGCCTCGCGCAGGGCGGGCATGAGCTTCTCCTGCATCTCCAGGCTGCAGAGCAGGTAGTCGGGCGCGATGCAGGTCTGCCCCGCGTTGAAGAAGCGGCCCCAGACCACGCGCCGAGCCACGTTGGGTATGTCGCAGGTGTCGGACACGTAGCAGGGGTTCTTGCCCCCCAGCTCCAGCGTCACCGGCGTCAGGTGCTTGGCAGCGGCCGTCATCACGATCCGCCCCACCCGGGGGCTGCCTGCGGGCATGGAAAACAGGGGGATGGGGACAAACCCACCAGCCATCGCACACCTCTGCCATGTGGCACCCTGGGGCCAGAGCACACACACTGAGTCCCACCAGACCTCAGACGCACGTCCCAGATCCTCCAACACATCCTGGCACCACAACCCCAAGCCAATCTCTGCCTTTTAGCAGGTGTGTCCAGAGGGAATCCCTCTTCCCCCTCACACCAAAGCCAGGCAGGGCTCTGCTCTGTCCCATGGGACGTACCAGTGAAGAAGATGTAGTCAAACTTGTTCTCTAGCAGCCTTGTGCTCTCCTGCACACCCCCAGTCACCACAGCAAAGCAGTCCTGCAAGGGAATAGGATACCTCCTGTCACCATCTGTCCTCTCCAACAGCATCCTGGGATGCTGGGACACCGGCTGGGCGTGGAGAAAGGAGGTTCAGCACATGGAAGATGTCTAAGGTTGGGGTTGCAAAGCAGGGTTGAGAACACCACGGCCTGGCAACAGGGACAAGGACAAGAAGAGCTTCTCACATTGTCCAGGTAACAGCTCAGCGTTTCAGCAACGAGTCTCTCGGTGTTCTTGGATATCTCTGAGGGTTTGACAATGACGCAGTTCCCTGGGGGGAGATCGACAGGACATCAGCACAGTGACACGGTGACAGCCAGCCCTTCTGGGGACGAGACCCTGGCACTGCCAGGATCCTCTGGGCCAGGGGACTGTAAGGTGGGGCTCACCAGCAGCGATGGCCCCGATGAGGGGCACCAGGAAAAGGTGGATGGGGTAGTTCCAGGGCGATATGATGAGCACCACCCCGTACGGATCCTTGCGGATGAAGGCGGAGTCCAGCTGCATCACCTGTGAGAACGTCCACAACCTCAGCGCTGCCCTCCCCACCAGCAACCCCTTTTCCCTGCCTTCCCTTTTCCTAGAGCTTCCCTCTTACCAGATTCTTGTCCACGTGCTCGTCCTTCATCCAGTGGCACAGGTTGTTGAGGGTGACGTTGAGCTCGTTCTTGCAGAGGAGGATCTCGCTGAAGTAAGCCTCAAAGGACGGCTGGGGACAGACATCACAAAGTGTCACCCCCACACCAACCCCGTCACCTCAACACTGACCCCAACGTGGACTCTGTCACGCCAGCACAGATCCTGGCATCGACCCGGCCACCCCAACACTTACCTCGTCACCCCAACACCAACCCTGTCACCCCAGGAGGAGTCTCCCCCCTCTTCCAAGCATGAAGAGCAGGAGAAGCTCTTAAGCAGAAGTTGCCATCACCCCCTGTAACTCCCAGAGAATATCAGTGTCCCGGAAATTTTATGAAAATAGGTATCTGACCAGAGGAAAAAAAAAAAACAACTAAAATTGAACATTTTCATGATATTTAACAAATTCCTGAGCTCAGCGCTGTGAACCAGCAACAGAGCCCCAAACCACGAGGAAACAGAGCAATATCACTGGAGCTCCAGAAGAGCTGGTCCTCGTGCCAAAGGCAGCTCCACACTGCTGCCCTGGGATGGGACAGTGCTCTTGCATCCCAAGCACTTGGATACTCAAGCTGGAAGCAGAGCCTGGAGCTCCCTCCCTGGGCCTGTGGACAAAAGCTGAACTTAAGACCTTGATTAAAGGGAAATACAAAGAACCACAGCTTAATTAAACCCCTCAAGATGGAGAAGTGGGTCCTCTCCATAGCCATGGAGCACAGATTAAGATCACACTTGCGGGAGAACTGTGAAGGCACCTGGGATAACCCAGCAGGCTCAGTGGAGCCCCTTCATGACTGCGGAGAGCCAGAGGAGCAAAGCTCCTGTGCTGTGACACCGTATTTTGGAGTCCTCCAACTCCAGAACATCCCTGGATTGGAGCCTTCCTCCCATCCCCACACTACTTTGGGGTTGGGAAGGCTGGTTGTTGATTCCCATGATGTTCCACCACCCCAAAACACCGGTGCCAGGAGGTGTGAGGACCGTCCCGGACGTGAGAGCTCAGCAGGCACGTGCGATAATCTGGTGAAGCAACGGGGCCGCTCTTGATCTGGGATGACAGTTGCATCACCACTAAGAGGAAAATGATGGGTCATTAAGGGTTTTGATGAGATACGAAGGCTGTGAGATGGGACATTAAGTCTGATGTCATCCAAGTGCTGCTGATCATCGGCACCAGGGAGAAACCGGTGTCGCTGGAGGTGAGGCAGCACCTCAGGTACGTAAGGGCAGGTGAAGCATCCATCCAGCTATGAGGGCCTGGCTGCATAACAAGCTCATTACTAGACAACCAGATCTAATTAGACATAATTGAGAGAAGTGATGGACACACTCGGAGCACTGATGCCTATCGAGGCCTGGCTGAAAGAGAAGGACTCGCCCCCAATAAACAAGGCAATTAGGAGCCTTGGAAGACGGCAGGACATGGAAGGATGTGGCTGAGGGCACAGGCTGCTGCACTGATGCCGGGCAGAGAGGTGAGGATCCTATCATGGAACCCTGGAATGGTTTGGGTTGGAAAGGACCTTAAAGCTCATCCAGTGCCACTCCCTGCCACAGGCAGGGCCTCCTTCCATTAGACCAGGTTGCTCCAAGCCCTGTCCAACCTGGCCTTGAACACTTCCAGAGAGATGAGCCGAGACCACTAAAATTATCCACGGTGGGGATGCTTCCGCTGTGTCAGTAGATCATCCAAGACCTCCTGGCATTCTGCAATACCCTGGGTCACATCCAGGTCCCTGCCCATGCTACTGTGCCAGTGAAACCAGTCCCTGTAAGGCTCTGGGAATGTGCAGCGCCACTGCCTTGCACAACGCCAGTAATACCGGGTGTGCTGGGAGCACCCCAGGATATCACCCTCTGTGGAGTTCACATGGACCCCCAGGGGCTGGATGTGGGGGGGGACACAGAAGGGGAAATGTTCCCACTTCACATCAGCCAAGGTGGCCTTTGCCCAGTTTCAGGGCACCAGGGATGGGATCAGCAGCACAGTCCCTCCGCTGTCCCTGGATCTGAGGGGACCCAGCACCTATGGATGCACCATACCAGCCCTGAAGCACACCTAGAGGGACACAGGACACCGGAGAGGAGATATCCCATGCCTTGACCCCCACGAGGATGCAACAGCCAGACAAAGGGGCATGAAGGACCCCAAAGACATGATGACAGTGCCCCTGAATCCCAGCCCCTCTCACCTTGCCCATGTCCGCAGCGGTGGCCTCCAGGATCTCCTCCTTCTTATCATCCAGGAAGCGTCCCAGGGCCTCCAGCTGGGCCGTGCGGTATTCCAAGGGCCGTGTCTTCCCGGAGAGCCAGGATGCCCGCAGGTGGCTCACCAGCCCAGCGTAGGGGTTCCCGCTGCAGGGATGGAGGTGTCAGAGGGACCCCAGCCCCATCCCAGCTCTTCAGAGCATCATGTCACCCCAGATCCATGTCATCCCATCCCAGCATCGAACTGGAGCCCCAGATTCCCTGGGGACAGGGCAGGGAGTCCACACACTTGTGTTTTTCCCTTGCTGCCGGGAGCAGCCCAACACGGCACTGTTCCTGGCAGATCCCACCTTCTCCCTTGGGCCATGCTGGAAGGTGGTGGCCCACAGATCCCAGACTCGTCCCCCAACACAAACCTGGGGTCCCCATTGTACTGGCACTGCCACAGCCCCCCAGCCCACCCTCCTGTCTCCCTCCTGTCCCCAGCCCCTTGTTCTCACCATACAGTGCTGCAGACCAATGGCTGTGGTCCCTTCCCGATCCCACTACCTCCACTGCACCCAGCAGCTTTCCCAACATCTTTGCCGGGATCACTGCCTGCGGTGCTGCACTTGCCGTAGCCCAGGGGCTGCTGCCCGGGGGGCTCGAGGGGCTGCTGCATACCAAGCTGTTGGAAGGAGCTGCCGGTCTCCATGGAGAGTGTGGTGGTGCTGGGGAGAGACGGGGGGTGGCTTATGCCGGGACTGAAGCGCGGGAGCTGCCGGCTCAATCCCAAGAGGAGTCACCTGCCTGCGGCACCTTTGAAGGTGCCTGTTTGGTGCTCGGGGCCGTCCTGGTTGTCGGGGTGACTCAGCCCGGTGCTGCTGCCCGAGGCCCCGGGAGATGCCTGAGATTCCCGGGATGACTGCCAGCCTCTGGACACTGACCTGCCCGGGCTTCTCACCTGATGTGGGGTCACCCATGGGGACCTCAGGGACAAGACATCCCCAAATCTGGGGGACAGAGCTGCAGCCCCACATCTGTCCTCCCATTCCTCTCCGTGCCCAAGGCACCCACCCCCTTCCTCGAGGGAACCCCCCCAGTGCCTCACAACCCCCACCCGCATAGGGGATGCTAAGGAGGTGCCCCGCAGGGGATGCCAGTTTTGGGGACTCCGCAGTGCCTACCTTGGGAGCTGTGCAGGGGCTGCAGGAGCACGAGTCCAGGTGGGCACTGCTGAGGCTCAGGAGCCCCTAAATGCTGTGGGGCCAGTGGCTGGGCCCCATGGCCAGGGGCGGGTAGGATTGGGCCCCGCCTCCATGGGGCTGGCAGTGGGGACAAGGGCTGGGATAGGATGGGATGGGACCTCCCCCATCGGACAGTGGCACTGGGGAACTCCCACGGCCACCAAACCACCACCATGAACCTTGACCCATTGGGACCCCACAGACACACTTCACCCCGCTCCCAGGAGCACCCTGATCCATTGGAACCCCACAGACACCCCTCATCCCGTTCCCAGGACCACCCTAACCCACGAGGTCCCATGATAGCCCTCATCCTACTTCCCTACTTTCACAACCAATAGACACGCATCATCCTGCTCCCAGGACCACCCTGACCCACGGGGTTCCCACTGACGCTCCTTATCCTGCTCCCAGGACCATGCCCAGGAAGGTCCCTTTCCCCCTGGCACTCCAGGGCGGCTACCCTTGCCTGGGGTATGGGGGGCCCTCGAGATGGGGGCTGCCCCTGCCCCACTGCCATGACCCTTTTGGGGCTGTTCCCCACATATCCCACTCATCCTGTAGGAACCAGCACCCTCGTAAGAATCCCATGTCAAGAATCCCCCGCTACCGGCTGGGTCAGATCCTGCCCTGAAGATGTCACCCCTTCCTGCCCCGCCCATGTCCCCCCACCCTGCCCCGGGGCACCCTGCCATGCCACGCACCTGGGCACGCTCCTGGCACTGGCTTTGGGGTGACAAGCAGGGCAGGCAGTGCCCCATACCCCCAGACCGGGGTGTCCCCCCGCCCAGGCACTCTGGCACATCCCCCGGGCCGGGAAGGGGAAGCGAGAGTGCCCGGGACCAGCACTCAGTGCACGGGGCACCCCGAGGAGGCAGCACCCAGCCCGGGGTCTGGTGGGAGCGCCGGGGAGGCTGCGGGGGTGCAGGGGAGCTGGGGAGGGGAGTTGCGGGGGGTTGAGGGTTCTTGTGCAACAGGGGAGCGATGGGTGCGGGGGGGTCAGGGTGCTGTGCAGGGGGGTCAGGGTCATGGTGCCTGGAGGGGGTCGTGGTGCATAAGGGCGGGGTGCGGGTAGGGAACCGGGTGCGGGAGCGTCGGGGGGAGTCCGGGACAGCGAAGAGGGTGCGGGGGTGGGCTGAGGGGGGGTGGAAATCTGGAGCGGCTCCTTTAACCACGCGCCCGTCCCGCCGCGCACCCGTCCGTCCGAAGAGGAAGCGGCGACCGGCCCGCCCCGGGAGGCTCATGGCACCGGGTAACCGGGGAGGGGGTCCGGGCCCGGGCCAGGGGGGGAATGCGGTGGAGGCTGGCGGGTGCTGGGCCCGGGGGTGGAGTTTCTGGGCGGGTGCAAAGCTGGAGGGCGGTGTGCGGTGCTGGGTTCAGGGGTGCAGGGTGTAGGCATGCAGAGCACGTGGGTGCAGAGTGCCGGACACGGGTGCAGGATTTGGGGGTGCAAGTCATGGGTTCAGGATCTGGGGGTGCTGGGTACGTGGGTGCAGGGGTTGGGTTAGGGGTACAAGTCACAGGTGCAGGTCTGGGGGTGCATCTCTCAGGGTGCAGAGCACATGGGTACAGGGTCCAGGGGTGCTGGGCACAGGGGTGCAGAGTCAGGGAGCGCAGGGTCTGGGTGTGAAGGACACAGAGGTGCAAGACACATGAATACAAGACTTGGGGTGCCAACAGGTTCCCCCCCCATCCTGGCACCATCCAGGGTCCCCCCAGAAGCAGTGATGGAGAAGGACCCCGACTGCTGCCAGGATGGGGCCAAGACAGTGCCAGGTGCCGGGCTGGGCACTGAGGGGACAGAGACACAGGTGAGGCCGGGGGAGGGAACTGGGTGGGGGGCAGGCCTGTGGTGGCCATACCCAAGGTCTGACTACCGGGGTCACCTGTAGCTGGACGATTTTGTGGGTGCTCACCCCGACTACAATGAGGAGGAGGAGGAGCAGAAGTACTTCCGCCGCAAGCGTCTCGGCGTCATCAAGAATGTGGTGGCTGCCAGTCTGGCGGGCACCCTCACCTATGGCGTATACCTGGGTATGGGCACCTCCCAGGGGTCCCCAAAACAATCCGGGGTGCTCAGAGCACGCGGTGACCGCCCCTGGACCCCCCGCAGGCCTGCTGCAGATGCAGCTGATCCTTCACTATGACGAGACCTACCGGGAGGTGAAGTACAGCAACATCCAGCTGGAGGACATCGACCACAAGGTGCTGATGGGCATCAACGTCACGCC